GCATGGCTGGAGTTGGTGTTGTAGTTCAACATGACAAAGATGGCAAACTTCCCATCGTAGACCTGGGTCCCCCGCACCACTCGGAGGTTGGGCAGTGGCAGCGCAGAGAACTCATTCATGGCCACAAGGACGTAGCCGGTCACTTCTCGGATCCACTGTGATGGAGCAGATCGTGTGGGTGAGAGGGAGAGTGGGGCAAGAAGTGTCAGTCCGCTTTCCCTCCCTAAGGCACTGAGGAAGCTCTAGCTCCTCTAATTTTTTCCAAGTCCTGTTTTGGAGTAGGGAGTAGCAGGCGCCACACGACTTCTGCAAGTGAAGACAAGCTGTAGAAATAACCGAGGAATTCTAGGCTCCTAGCCTTTCCTTCTCTGGGCTCCTCAGGCCAGGAGGAGGGTCCTTGCTTATCCCTTCCTCACCTCCTCAGGTAACTCTTGGTCCCTGGTGCAGAACCCCACCCTGCCCCTGCCCCCTTCTCAGGGCCAGCCCCTGTGCATCTCCGGCTACAGCGACCAGTCCACAGGCCCCAGATTCCAATCATTGCCCCATAAACACACTGGCTTGGATCTTAGGAACCATGGAGTCTTAGGAATGCTCAACTCCAGCCCTGAGGACAGGAAGGAGGCTTCTGTAGGGAGGACAAGGGGGAAGAGGTCGAGGAAGGAGGTCGGCACTCTAACCTGCAGGAAGGAGAGGTCAGCATTGTGTCCTGTGAGCACGATCTCCAGGTTCCCCATCACCACCTCACACCTCTCGTAGAGCTTGTACAGTGTCTGGTACTGGTTGTCGGCATCGCCGGTCACACTCAGCCCATTCAGAGTCCCAGGGCACACTGTTCCAAGTGGAGGTAAGAATGGCAGAGGCCTGGACACAAGTTTTCGGCCCCGTCCCCCAAGACCACCCCTTGGTTGCCCTCTTCCAGTAACATTTAGCACGATCAGAGGCAGCTGCCTCCAACCCTCCGCCCTAGAGGCAGATGCCAAGGCCAGACTGAGAGCCTAAACTTCCTCTTTTCCCAGAATCCCTTCACTGGCCCCCTGAACAGGAAGGTGAAAAGATTGCCTTTTCCCACCTGGGCCTCCTCTGTGCCTCTACTGGGTACTACTTTAGGTGCTAAGGAGTTAATCAAGGAGGATGTGGGGTTGTTTTCCCCTCCCTAGATAGAAGTTAGAAAAGGACCACAGCTTGGTTACCCTCCTCTTCCCTTCCCCCGCTCCAACCAGGGCACTTCTCTACCCCCATCCTGCCTCTCTAGGTCCTGGAATAAATATCTCTTTGGGGCAGCACACAGCCCCTATTGTGTCTACCGAGGGTGGGATGGGGGCAGAGGGCGGGGGCAGTGCCTGGGGCCACGGTACGGCCCACAATGAGGCGATTCTATTTAGGAGGAGGGGGCTGCCCCACCCTGTCCCCAGACACCCTGTCCTCAGCCGCTGCCCCCCTCTCTCCCCTCAAGCTTTGGGCTCAGACGAGTGACCTCACTGGCAGGGGGCCTCTGGTGGTGGTGTGGGGGGCTCAGTGTGAACTCTGTCTATAAAGCTGGAAGATAGGGAGCTGACTGCCCACCTCGCACCCCCTTCATCAACTCTGGCTTTCCTCTCACTCTGTTCCCTGTCCCAGCCCACTCCAGCTCCCTCAGCATCACACTTTCCAGCCCTAGAGTATTTTTCAGCAAATACAGAGAAGCCGGATGGAAACAGCAGCCGACTGCCTCCATTCTAAGCCTTCTACCCAATTTCATAGTCAGAGGAGATTCATTGAGAAGCCTTCCAGGGCTTCCCTGGTGGCGCAGTGGTTGAGAATCTGCCTGCCAATGCAGGGGACACGGGTTCGAGCCCCAGTCTGGGAAGATCCCACATGCCGTGGAGCAACTGGGCCCGTGAGCCACAACTACTGAGCCTGCGCGTCTGGAGCCTGTGCTCCGCAACAACAGAGGCCGCGATAGTGAGAGGCCCGCGCACCGCGATGAAGAGTGGCCCCCACTTGCCGCAACTAGAGAAAGCCCTTGCCCAGAAAACGAAGACCCAACACAGCCAAAAATAAATAAATTAATTAATAATAATTAAAAAAAAGAATGCTTCCAACATGGCACTCTGACTCACATTAGGGACAGCCTAGACTCGAGGTACATGAGGCATGTCAGTCTTGGGGGTTCACTTTACTTTGTAAGTATGGAGGACATAGGAGCTATGGGAAATGTTGGACCCTGAAGCCCTCCCTACCACTTGTCTCTCCTCTGGCTCAGTGAAAGACTGCGGGGAGGGGGGGTAGATACCACCTGTCCCAGCCACCCTTCCCTGAGGCAGTGGCAGCCTAGTGGGAGGCAGGAGTGAATGGAGGGAGGGAGATTGGTGAGGCCCCAACCCCTCCTCCCTGATGCACCCCTAGTCTGACCACCTGACCTTTGAAGGGCTCCCATTCCCTATCACACCCCATGAAGGGAAAGGGGTGAGCTAGACCCAGCAGAGGGGTAAACAGGCTGGGAGCTCCCAGAGGAGCCTGGGAACTCTAGGGTCCTTGGGTTGAAAACGAAACGACTAGGAGGTTAGTCGTTTCTGGAACAGCGCCACCCCAACCCCCTTCCTGGCAGGACACCCCCTCTTCCAAGTCAAGGCGCTAACCCTTCTCCCCAGATAAGGGAGGAGCCACGATTTCTGCACAGGGAAGTGGGGTGTGGGTGTGTACACACACACACACACACACACACACACACACAAACACTCGTACACGTACACAGCTCCCCTACTGGCCCAGAAATCTACACTGGTTCTGTCCTTGGGTTTCCTTATTTGGAAGTATTTCAGGTGGCCCCATCCATTCCACCTGCCCATATGTGTTTGTGCAAACTTTGTGTCTGTGCTTGGGAGGCTACAGTGTTCAAGATCCCAGTTCCCTGCCACCCTGAGGGTAAAGTCCATATTACACAAATAGGAGCAAAGGGCTGGGTGGGAAGAGAGAATGAACAGCACCTCTGAGGAGGAACCAGGCAGCTTGGGGAGGAGGGGGGAGTAGGGGAATTAGAAAGTCCCTGCTATACGCAGGAATTAGGGGCACAGGGAGGGCCAGTGGCACAGACCCCCCCCTTTGGTAAAGAGCACTGGGGTGGGTCACAGCAAGAATCTCCAACCCCTCCTTAACCAGAGGCCTCCTCTCCAAAGTCCCCCACCCCCCATCACAGCCAGGACAAAGGGGCTATAGAAGGACTGAGACAGGGCCGGATGCCCAGAGGCTGCAGGATCCAGATAAAGGGTAAAGAGACCCAACCATGCCTGCCTCCTGTCTCCCTCAGGGAAGGTGGCCAGGATCTGGGACTCCTGGGTTCCCAGCTGAAGATTCAGGGGTCTGGATGGGACAGTGATACAGTGACTTTACTCAGTCTCTCCCACTCCAATCCCCAGACCCCCGCCCTCCACCAGCTGGGAGTGTTCACATCTCAAGATCCCAGGGTCTAAATTTAGGCCCAGCAACTGTGAGGGAAGCACAGGTGTTTCTCCCACTCCCACCCTGGGGAAGGGGCCCTGACTGTGCCAAACCCCAAGCTGAGATCTGGGGGGAGGGGAGGAAATCAACAGGGTTCCTCCAGCTCCAGCAACCCCAGCACCCCTCAGGTGTCCATGGTTCCAGAGACACCCCAAAGAGGTGGGCTCAGCTGGCATGGGAGTGGGAGGAGGAACAGAGGAGCAATCTGACTCTTGTCTAGACTGCTAGAGACAGCCAGACAATAAACAGAATGGGGGTGGGGGTGACTCTGGGCCTAAGAAGGACGCCCCCCCCACAAGGACAGGGGGCTCAGAAGACAGGACAGGTGCCCTGTTGGCCCTCAGGTTGGAGACAGAAAAGACAGAGAGAAATAGCGTCTGGAAGTCCTTGACCCTATAGCTCCTGGCTCAGTGCTTTGTACATAGTAGATGCTCAATAAGTATTAGTTGAATTGAGCTGGGTCTTGACAAAAAAAGTTTGGTCAAGTCGGGGACCAGCTAACTTTATTATTTTGAGAGAAAGAGGCCAGTCAGCCTCTGCGGGGCCTCTCACCCTGCTGTCACCTGGACTTGGCCCTTGGGTTAATCTCAGCTCTCCACAGGGCAGGCCCACTCACGGAAGAGGAGGTGCCTCTCTTGTTTTCCAACAGTAGACAACAACAACCTCCCCCCTTCCACAGCTCCACCCTGCCGGCAAAACAACAAAACTGGAGGTTTTTGAGCCCCTGGGGGCAGGAGGTTGGGAACAAACCGAGAACCCCCCCTTCCCTGCCCCCGCTCTTTCCAAGATCTCCACCTCCAATCATCCCCTCACGTTTACAGAATGGAGGTCCCAGCTCCCCTCCCTGCAGGGCCCCTCAGAAGTGTGAACTGTTTCGGCATCAGCCCTACCCGGAGAGACAAATCAGAGGGTCCGCGACACGGCAGGGAGGAGGTGGCCGGGGCAAGGTAGTGGTTCGGGAATCCCGTCCCCGCCCGGACCATGCCGAGAACCTGATCCTGACGGTCTTCGCCCAGGGGGCCCCAGAGCGCCGGGGCTCCGCACCCCCAGCCTCGCACAGCCCGAGCTCCTGCCCCTGGCCTCCGGCACCCCGCGAATTTGGCTCGGAATCCCAGGTTGCGAGCCTGCCGGTGCTCCCGCACCGCTTACCTGCCTGCGAGTTGCCCACCTCGGAGCCCCGGGCCAGGCTGAGGAGGAAGCCCAGCACCTGCAGAGCCCCGTTCGCTCTCATGACTCCAGCGGAGAGTGAGGGGAGCCCAGCCCAATCCGGCCGGGGGGCGGCCCTGGACTAGGACATCTAAGCGGAGCCACCTGAGCCGCCGGAGACTTGGTAGCGGCGGCAGAGGAGGTTGCAAACTGCAACCGGAGCCGGAGCCGGAGTTTGGGGCGGGATGGCAGGGGAGGGGTGTAGTCTGCAAGGGAGCGCAGGGGGAGGGGGTGAATCTCGGCCGCGCCCCTTCGGGCGCGAGGCTGGAGTAGCGATTGCTGGAGCCTCTGCGGCCCGCCCCGAGCGCGCCCCACGCCCCAGTGCCCGGCAACTTGGCCGCGCAGATCCGGGACGGGTCTCGCCCTAATTTTTCTCCGGGAGCTGAAGTAAGGGGAGGCCAAGATTCCAAACGCCCCCAAATGCTTCCAAAGGAGAAAGGTAATGGGGGTGGGGAGAGCGCTCCAAAGCCTGACCCCCTGCAAGTTGGCCTCGCCCACTAACCAAATCACTCAACTCCCCTAGCCGGTTGGGTCACTTGGGGGATTTTCCGTCTGAATGTGAATGCTTCTCTCCGAGTGTGTTTTTGAGGGGGAGGGTGTTTTTGCCGCCCGCTCAGGCCACCTCAGTTTCCCCGGAACCGCCTCGAAACCCCATAACTCATGCACCCTGCCGAGGAACCCGAGCCCCAAAGGCCGCGTGAAATTGCAGTGTCTCCGGCCGCTTCCTCCTCCAGACCCGGCGCCGGCCCGGCCTCTCCCGGGGATTTGGTTGGGGGGCGGGGGTGGCTTCCAGCCTGGGAACAGACCCCGAAGCCCGCCTTTTCACTTCCACTCCGGGAGGGGCTCCCGCACCTGTCGCCGTCCCCTCTGCTGCCCCCCAAGGCCGCCTGGGAGAACAGCTGCCTCCCCTTGCACACTGGGGTCGGACCGCGCCGTCGGGGCGGCCAGCGTTCCCACCACAGGCGCTCACTTTCCCAGGCCTTCCGGGCCCAGGCTGTCGCTGGAGAGGAGAAGGAGGGGGACGCGGAGAGGGCACTAGAGACTGCGTCCCCCAAAGGCATGAACCCTGGGCACCTCCAGCACCAGCTCCAGGATTCTGGCCAGAGGCGGTGGGGCGCACCGCGAGGGGCTGCCCCAAACCTAGCCAGACTCCAAGTGGATCCGACGGGCACCCCCTGGTGCCCAACCGGCGGCAGTGAGGCCCCCACACGGCGTTGCATTCCGGATCTTGCCCAGAGAGCCTAATTATCTTCCCCGGAGTTTCAAGCCTGAAGACTTCGAGAACATTTTAACTTTGATTAAGAAAAATTCCACCTCTCACTCCGAGCAAAGATTACTGGCTAAAATTCTTTAAACTTGCTTTGTATTGATCTTCATCCTAGAGGGCCCATTCTCTGGGGAGGCTACCTCTCTGGAGGCTACCTTTGCCCTCTGGGTGTTGATCTTGCCCTGACCACTTACATAACAGTCATAATAGTAATAGCAACATTAACATATACATACGTATACCACGTGGTTTTCAAGTGCTTCCTCAACTTAGAGAATGTTTCACTTAACATAAAAATTATGTGACCTAGGGGACTTCACTCTAGTTTACAGAACTGGAAATGTAGGACTACTCCAAGGTCATCCACCCGGTGACAATGCTGAGATGATCAGGTGATCAGAAGAAGGGACTCCGGTTTTTTGCTAGGATTTCGTCTGTCACTCCGAGACTGGAACTTCCCCTGCTCAGAATCAAACTCCCGTGATAACTGAGCTAACAGCACTTAAGGGGACTTTCATTTTATCACTCCTCCACCTTGACCTAGTTAGTCTTCAGGCTCTGGTTCTGAAGGAGGAAACCCTCCTTATTTTCTTTGTTTGTAGAGCAGTCATATTTACTTAAAGGTTGTCGTTTGTATTTACTGAGAAAAGACAGGGAGGTCTTCATTACTGAAAGCTAGCTGTATTTCTTCCTATTATCACCAACCCTAACCCTTCCCTCCCCGACTAGATAGCCAGGTGTGCTTGCTGGTATGCATCTTCAATACATTATGCTAAACATCAGGGATGTAAACATTGGATAAAGCTGACAAGTAAGGGGCCATCTCTGTTGGGTGCTGCTCTGACTCAATAAATGAAGGAAGGGAGGCTTTATTTACGAACGCTCTCTGCAGTTATCCAGCATCCCTTTATTTTTCCTTACTCTTAGATGATAACTTTGGTTCTTGTTTTATTGTGAAAAGTAATCAAAAGAAGACATCCTTATCTATCTCACACCAATCTGGCCAAATTACCTCCCTCCTCACTTATGTATTCTGACTTCCATCTTGTTACAGTGAATTGTCATTGCTGCTGTTTAAGCTAACTGTCACTCTCCCATTCCCATCCCTCACCCCACCCTCACCCCCACCCTCCAGTTCTACACCTCAGTCCATTTCTTTAATTAATTAATTAATTTATTTATTTATTTTTGGCTGCATTGGGTCTTCGTTGCTGCACCCGGCCTTCTTTAGTTGTGGTGAGTGGGGGCTATACTTTGTTGCAGTGCGCGGGCTTCTCATTGCTGTGGCTTCTCTTGTTCCAGAGCTTGGGCTGTAGGCACGTGGGCTTCAGTAGTTGTGGCACGTGGACTCAGTAGTTATGGCACACGGGCTCTAGAGCGCAGGATTAGTAGTGGTGGTGCACGGACTTAGTTGCTCCGCGGCATGTGGGATCTTCCGGGACCAGAGCTCGCACCCATGTCCCCTGCACTGGCAGGCGGATTCTTAACCACTGAGCCACCAGGGAAGCCCCGTCAGTCCATTTCTTCTTGTCTTTTTCCTGTATTATCCCCTTTCTCCTGTATTATCAATTTTTCTCTCTACTAGATCATTCCTATTAGCATACAAGTGTGCTGTAATATCTACCATCTTAAAAAAATAAAACAAAACAAACTTTCTCTGACCACGCCCCTCGTGGCCTTCTAGTCCTTTGCTCCTAACTGCTGCAAGATACTCTATTGTGGGAATCCCTATCCTTTATTTGTTCACTACTCCAATGATTGCCTCCAGCTTCCTGCTACCACAAGCGATGCTGCAATAAATATCCTTGTACGCGCATGTCTCCTTTGGTTCTGTGATAATTTCTTCTGCATATTGAGCTCCACAGTCTCTGGAATGTCACACCATTAATAGTGGGATTTCTATATCCCAACCTTCTTGCCAATACTTGACATTATTTTTATTTATTTATTTTTAAAATTTATTGATTTTTGGCTGCGTTGGGTCTTCGTTGCTGCCCGCGGGGCTTTCTCTAGTTGTGGCTCTCAGGGGCTGCTCTTCCTTGCGGAGTGCAGGCTTCTCATTGCAGTGGCTTCTCTAGAGCACGGGCTTTAGGCACACAGGCTTCAATAGTTGTGGTATGTGGGTTCAGTAGTTGTGGCACACGGACTTAGTTTCTCCATGGCATGCGGGATCTTCCCGAGCCAGGACTCCAACCCGTGTCCCCTACATTGGCAGGCAGATTCTTAACCACTGCACCACCAGGGAAGTCCTTGACATTACTCAAATTTCCAAGTTGCCATGAATTAAAAATACCTCATTGCCACACACACACACACACAAAAAGGGCTTCCCTGGTGGTGCAGTGGTTGAGAGTCCGCCTGCCGATGCAGGGGACACGGTTCGTGCCCCGGTCCGGGAAGATCCCACATGCCGCGAAGCAGGTGGGCCTGTGAGCCATGGCCGCTGAGGCTGTGCGTCCGGAGCCTGTGCTCCGCAACAGGGGAGGCCACAACAGTGGGAGGCCCACGTACCACAAAAAAAAAAAAAAAAAAATCTCATTGCATTTCTTTAATGTGTTTGAACATCTCAAATTTTTTCTTACTTTTGGTTTTCCTTTTATGAATTGCCTATTCATTTTCCTTTGCCTATTTTTCTTTTTCTTTTCTTTTTTTTTTTTTTTTTTGTACGCGGGGCCTCTCACTGTTGTGGCCTCTCACGTTGCGGAGCACAGGCTCCGGACGCGCAGGCTCAGCACGGGCCTAGCTGCTCCACGGCATGTGGGATCTTCCCAGACCGGGGCATGAACCCATGTCCCCTGCATCGGCAGGCAGACTCTCAACCAGTGCGCCACCAGGGAAGCCCTCCTTTGTCTATTTTTCTATTGAGATTCCCATTTTAAAAAATTGATTTGTAGCAGTTTATTTTATTCATTTATTTATTTTGGCTGCACCACTTGGCTTGCAGGATCTTATTTCCCCTACCAGGGACTGAACCCAGGCCGCGGCAGTGAAAGTGCCGACTCCTAACCACTGGACCGCCAGGGAATTCCCTGTAGCAGTTTAGTGTATATGTATTTACCATATTAGTCCTTCATTGATTTTAGACATTGCAAATATCTCTTCCTAACTCTTATCATTAGCTGTCAATAATGAAATCCTTAATTTTGGTATAATCTAATTAGTCACTATTATTCTTATGGTTTCTGATCTTGATATGTTTAAAGACTTCCCCACCCTGGCAATGATTTACTGAGGTATAATTGAGATATAATTAATATACAATAAACTGCACATATATCAAGTCTACAATGTGACGTTTTGACATACATAACTACAATCAAAATAATGAACATATCCATCACCCAGGAGAATTTCCTTGTGCCTTTTGGCAATTCCTCCTTCCCCATTATCTCCCCCTGCCCCACACCAGCATGTGTATGCCCAGTCGTTCCAGCATCATTTGTTGATAGTAGTAAAATTTTTTTTTTAATTTATTTATTTTTGGCTGCAGTTGGGTCTTTGTTGCTGCGTGCAGGCTTTCTCTAGTTGCGGCGAGAGGGGCTACTCCTCGTTGCAGTGCGCGTGCTTCTCATTGCAGTGGCTTCTCTTGTTGTGGAGCATGGGCTCTAGGCGAACGGGCTTCAGTAGTTGTGGTTCACAAGTTCAGTGATTGTGGCTTGCGGGCTGTAGAGCGCAGGCTCAGTAGTTGTGGCACACGGGCTTAGCTGCTCCACGGCATGTGGGATCTTCCCCGACTAGGGCTTGAGCCCGTGTCCCTTGCTCGAACCTGTGTCCCCTGCATTGGTAGGTGGATTCTTAACCACTGTGCCACTAGGGAAGTCCCGATAGTAGTAAATTTTTAATACTAAAAAATGCTAGTACTACATAGTTAGAAAAACTGGGCATTTTTTTAAAAAGTTATTTTTTAGGGGAGAAAACTTCAGGGGAGGTATTTTACATACAGAATCCTTTGAAATGGACCTTGTTAAATAAATACTTAGAAGAGGTAAAACGTATATGCCAAGTAAGTTTCATTTAACATAAAGCCCCTGCAGGGACTTCCTTGGCGGTCCAGTGGTTAAGACTCCAGGCTTCCACTACAGGGGGTGCTGGTTCGATCCCTGGTGGGGAACTAAGATCCTGAATGCACGCCTGGTGCGGCCCCCGCACCAAAAAACAAAAACAAAAGAGCC